GTAGTAGTAGTAGTAGTAGTAGTTGTGACGGTGAGTACTTGGTATTATTTTCTGTGTTGTTAGCGGAGATTAGGCTTACTGTTCCGCCTCTCTATGATAAATACGCTGTCGTAATCTGGATTATCGAGGTGGAGCGCGTGATGGTCACGATCACGATTCGGGGGGGCCTGCTCGTGGACCGGCTCCGAGGTGGCAGTGGCGGGGGTGGTTACTTGCGTAGGAAGTGGTGGTTGATGAAGAGGTTGTGGTGGTGGTGGTGGTAGTTGCGGATTCAACGGGCTGCAACGGGTCAGCGTCGAGACTGACTCGCCGCACGCGTTTAGGTTTGTCGACCTACAGAAAACACAGAGAGAGAGAGGAGGACAAGAGACGCCCACGATTTTTTCTATTTCTTACAATTTTTCTTTTCGTTATCCTTTGTTTTTAATCTCTTCTGTTATTTTCGTTTATTTATTATATTTACTTTACTTTTTCTTTTTTCTTTTCATTTGTGGTTTCTCTTTCTTTTCTTTTCTCAGTGCTTGACTGTTTAAGTTAACGTTTCATTTATATATTGGAATATATGTTATTGTATTCATTAATATTTTGTTTAATTTTATATTATTTTATTATTTGATCGTTAACTTCAGTCGCACTATTAACTATTGACCGCCGTTTGTACGAAAGACCTTGTTAATGATAGAGAGAAAGAGAGAGAAACGATTCACGAAGAAGTTAAGATTCTTACAGAATCAATGATTTCATTTCTATATTTGCCTTCGATCGTTATTCGTATCTTCAACTTTCTCTCCAGAATAAGTCTCTCGACAATCGGACATTTCTCTAGCTCGCGTCGGCTCTCTTCTGATCCTTGCTCTGATCGCGAATCTCGGTAATGATTACCGAGTTAACGTTAACTCCGTATTCGTAGTCGGTTGACAAATGTTGAACACTCGATGTAAACGATCGAACGTTCAATATTTTTAATTCCATATATATCTTCCATCATCGTAATCATTATCATCATCATCATCGACTACGAATGCCGAGCTTCGTAAAAGTTCTTGGCAGTGGCTGAACCGTTCAGCCCGTTCTGGATATTCGTGTAGGTATCAAACGTGCATCGTCGATTTGCTTTCGCTAATATAGAATATTTTTTTAATATACGTGTGAAAATCGTGACTCGATTTAATTCATAAGGAGATACGCGTTAGATTGATCAAAATCATAGATGAATAACGTACAAAGGTGTACGGGCTCGTCACGAGGGTTAATTAACTAGAAAATAATTAATACGTTTTTATACGTTTCATTTGTAAATAGTAAAGCATGGAATAGGAGAATGGGGGAAAAAAGGAGGATGGAGATTACTCGATAACACCCTCGCGATGAGCAAACGTGATTTCCACGTTTAACGATGTTGCTGGTCGTACAAAGTGAAAGTAACTGAAAAAAAAGAAGAAATAAAAAAATAAATAAAAAATAAATACGACGACAGAATGAAAATGAAACGGGAAAACGATGATGTGGAGTTTATTTGCATTGTCCAACGTTGTCTTTGATTCCGGGTTGGTGCTGTCTGCTTGAAATGTTTCAGGATTAGGTAGAACTTCTGTGTTTCAACTTGGATATTGTTTATTAAGAGCTCTATCTTTTTTCCTTTCTTTTATTTTTTTTTTCTTTTTTTTTTTTTTGTAGGTTAAAAAAAATATACCTTTTACGTATTTTGGTAAGTGTAAGGATCATAAGTTTTTTTTTTTTTCAACGTAAAAACAAAATTCGTGTGGACATAAACAATTGGATATTCATCCCGGAAGCAAAGAAAATTATATAGGAATTTTTTCTGACGGACAGGATTACGGTAATCACGGGTCGGTGGGGTGGGGGTGGGGNTGGGGGTGGGGGGGGGGAAGAGGGGTAATTTAATTTAATTCAAAATAATAGAATAATTAATATAAAAACGAAATTGGAAAAAAAGATTTGTCGCGTCGCGATAGAAAAAAAAAAAACAGAATAGGACGATCCAGAATAGGCATCACTGCAGTCGTATTGTGGACTTTTGGATGCCACGATAAAAATCATAATCGAGATTTTAGGTGTGTGTCCGATTGATTATTATTATTATTATTATTATTATTATTCTTATTTTGTCAAATAATGCTTCGCTACGCGTGCAACCCGTTTTATTGGTCGTTTCGATAATTTCAAATAATTATACGTATACGGTTTTTTATCATCATAGAGAAAATGTTAAATGTTCGTTGTCTATGAAAATAGAGAAGAAAAAGACAGAGAGAAAAAGAGAATAATGAGAAAAATAGAGAAAACATAAAATACCCCTAAAAATAGAGAACACGAGAAAGAAAAAGAGAGAGACAGAGAGAGAGAGAAAGAAAAAGAGAGAGACAGAGAGAGAGAGAGAGAGAGAGAGAGAGAGAGAGAGAGAGAGAGAGAGAAAGAGAGAATTAAAGAGAAACTGAAACGAATGCAATATGGCTTATACGAGATTAGCGTAGGCGAAATTTCTTTCACGCGACGTATGTACTTTTCTTTTTCCTTTTTCCCCCTTCTTTTTTTTTTCTTTTAACTTTTCTTCCATTTGACGTCAAACGAAAAAAACAAGTGCACGGAATGGTAGCGATGAAGAAAGAAAAAAAAAAGAAAAGAGAAAAAAAAAAAACGAGAAAAAGATAGAAGAACGGAGAATGAAATAATTAGGTGCACGCATAGCCGCGCTTGAATGTGTCGTATGTGAGAAAAAGAGACAGAAATATAGAGAAAAAGAATGATAGATAGAGAGATAGAAAGAGTATTAAAAAATAAAAAAAAAGAAAAAAAATATAGAGAAAAAAAAAAAAGACAGATTGAGAGTTACAGAGTTCGTTTCGTTAATTAATTAAGTAGCACGATAAAAGAGATCGTTCTCCAACCTCGTCCAAAATACCTCTGCTGTTGCGGTTAAGTCTGCCGGTTTGGTTATTTCTTTTCTCTGTTTTTTTTTTGTTTTGTTCTATTTTTTTTTTTCTGTTTTAATGTTCTTTTGTCTTTCATATGAATATTTCTATGAGAAAAATAGATCTAAAAGTTCAAAAGTATCATCACACATATAATAGGCATATACATATGTGTGCACGTATTCTTGAACGCAAGAAGATCAAAAGAGGGTTTTTTTTATTCTGTGATTATAAGCTTTCTTTCCTTTTTTTTTTTTTTTTGTTTCACTATATTTTGTTACTATATTTTACTATTTCTAATATTTTTCGCTTCTCGACTTTATTACTCGTGTCTTTTATTCTTCGTGAACTGGGTAGAAACGGCTGCTCTTCTTTCTATGTAACTTTTTGGTTGGGGTTTTGTATTTGTTAAGAATATTCTTTTTTTTATTAACAATAATTAATCGCGCGTTAAAAGACGAGACGAGACGACGAGAGTGAACGAAGAGCGATGATGAGTTTCTCTCTCGTACGTCTCTTTTGAAAAAGAAAAAAACAAAAAAATTTCGGTGATCATCTAGCTGAATAAATTGACAAAGTAAAAAAAAACGTCGTCGATGCAAGAAAGATATTATTATTGTATTACAATGGATCGCTTTTTCGTATCGTTACACGAAATAGAAACGTTAATAATTAACGTTAAATCAAAATATAATGTGATAAAACGTGTTTCGCATCGACGACATCATTTTGTATATTAAACGCGTAATGTAAACTTTGATAATTTAGCGAGAACACAGATATCGGAATAATTAATCATGTTCTCGTAAACTCGTTAACTATAGATCGCTCGTGAGAGGTTTAGTAAAAATGCTTGCGGTGCTTCAGTTTGCCTACTGCTCGTAAAAAGGGGGGAGAGTGGACTTAATAACTAGCTCTGGCTAAGCCTATGTGATGTATATTCTCTTCGAGGTCGCATCTGCAATGTATTACAAACCCTAAACCCATCATCCCCACTTTGAATCCCCGTAAAGAATCAAGATCATCGATCCGGTTTTAAAGGTAAAAGATGTTCCAGAGAAGTTCATCTGTTTTTCTTTCTCCCTATAGCTATAGGAAGCTCGTTTTAGCTTTCGTCTTAATCACCCGTCCGCCATTGTAGAAACCTCGTCCATCAAGTAGAATTCTCGATGTTTTGTTGCGCACTTTGTTGATCCGTCTCGTTTATCATGCATCGTCATTAGTCACGCGAACAACCACCACCACCGCCACCACCGCCACCACCGCCACCACCACCACCACAACCAACCACCATCGGGAGGCGGTGGCATTAAGAGAGAGAGAGAGAGAGAGAGAGAATTTATGCTTCCAACGAAATTTAACGCGTCATATTTCAACCGGCTCATCGTACTTTCGCTAATTTGTCCTGCTAATTATAATAGTTATGTACATAAGTTAAGTAAATAAGTAAGTATACGTAGTAATAGTAAATATTTTTATGTGTGATTTAAGAAGAACAAAAATCTATTTGTGTTAGCGCGACGTTAATGCAAGATGATCGAGTATTAAAGTTAATGAGAAAATTTCGGAAAAAAGTATTTAGACTTTACGACGAGAGCTCGCGTTGATTAGGAACGATGGAAATTCTTTTAAAAAGAACCGTCTCATCGAATATATATATATCTTCCCTCTTTAAAATAAGTTTAACGAGAATTTTACGAACGCTAATCTTTCTTAATCGGTCGAAGATTCAAAGGACAGGGCGATTAAGAGAATCTCAAAGGATCAAACTAAATCTTAGAAAATTTCGTTCCACCTTGCAGATACGACTCCCTCGATCTAAAGATTCCTTAAATAGGGTTTTCGTCCTTGACGATCCCAGAAGAGATTCTAGGATTTAGAAAATTTATATGTATTGATCGTGATACTCTTTGGTAGATGGGTACCTGAAGGGAGGAGGAATTTTGTCGGAGATAGACACTCACTTTTTCAAAGGCACTGTTCCTTGAGGCCCCTGCCCTGCACCATTCCTGTTGTCGGTAACCCGGCAAGTCACCATGTTATACGCTGAAAGCAGTTCTATAATGTTACAAAACTATGTTAAATTCGTATGCGTACGGTTTCACAGGTGCTTGCCCAGCCCCTGCGGTGCTCGGATCGTTGTCGTCGTCCTCTAATTAAATAACATCCTATTCCTATTACTTATGACAAATTAAATTTCTTTATCGATATCAATTTAATTGTTCTAAACCATTTATTTTGTTCTTTTTTTTTAAATTACCTATAATCCTATTTATAAGTTCTTCTAATACTGCACGTACGAGAATCAAATTCCTATTTATTCTGTGTGTTGCCTGTAGATTCGAGAATGAAAAGATCATTATTTATATTAATAATATATTATAATCTTTAATTTGAGATATAATATGAGAATGATCGACACGACCAGGAGCAGTGATGCAGGCCGGATACAAGACATGTACGTTGTATATATCAAACGTTTCTTATTCACCAAAGGAACGTAAATAACCATACCTTTCTCCTGTTTTCGTCTCTTCCGCTTATTGCAGATCTTCACCGCGCATATACTCAGGATAATGGCGACGATGAAGAAAAGAATACCACCCACAACCCCGGCCGTGATCGCCTTGTGTTTCACACGAGCAGGTACAGGAAATTTAACTTGTTCGCTGGCACCGTAATTCGTCGCTGAATTTGCGAACACTTGGAAATAATACGTCCTACCACCAACCAGATTCTTCACTGTTACCCCGAAGAAACAAAAAGGAAACAAATTCATTGATATTAATTATTTCACCAATCAATTAAATTTATTATAATATATTTGTAATTACTTGGTATAATATATAATATTATGATTATAAATTATTGACTATTTTGGATTCGTGTGTGTTTAAATCTGTAAAATGATTTAGAAAAAGCTTTCTCGTACTTACCCAAAAACTGTGTATCCTCCGGACGGATTTGTCCCTTATTGAGATTTTTCCAGGGCCCGTCCGTTTTATATTTGATAGTATAATGCTGAATGAGATGATTCCTCTCAGATGGAGCTTCCCAAGTAATTAGAAAACCGTTGCTGACTTCGGTCACCGTAAGATTTTTCGGTGGACCTGGTTTCGGTCCTGTAAATATATCCACATATGTAACATTCAACGAATTTATTGAAAAACAAAATTTATTCAATTTTAGAACAGAAAGGAATCAAATAATATTATTAAGAATTATTCCTATTATATCTCATAGAGGAAATGAAACTTCGATGCATCTTTTTTATTTTTTTACTTACATTATACTTTTTAGTTAACGAATAAAAGAATATTTTAAATATATGAAAATAAAGAAGGAGAAGGAATATATAGGACGTATTGTATCATTCTTTTTGAACATGTTTCTCTTCTTTAAAAAGTCCGGTTGGTTATCATTTTTTAAAAATAAGGTCAGCAAGAAATTAGGATTACGTGTGTTAATAAAGGTAACGAATGAATCCCGGAAGTAATTAGGCTGTAACGTTATACGCGTTAGAAGAGCAACGAAAGATGACCTCACGTTTGTGGCTAATCCTATTAAAAAGCTACATCAATATCGTTTCATTACTACACCCACTGTCGGTTAAAGTCTAACCATAAAAACCTTACGGTTATGTTCAAACGGATAGATCGTTTATAAAACTAAATCCAATTGAATTAGTTGAAATTAATTTAAAACAGAATTTGTTCGAATGTTTCTTGTATTTATTTTTTTTTTCTTTTTTTCTCTTCTTCAATCACTTTTAATACAACACGATGATCGTAAATAAGGAATAAAGAACACATTAGGTATAAACGTTACTAAGCCGTAAAATGAAAGTAGAAAAACGAATAAAAGAACGAGTGGATTAATCCAATTTACAAGGATTGCGATAAACTTGGAAAGAAAGCGTATTCGCCCGAACCTAACTTCCTTCTTTTCAAATAGCCCCACGTAAAGGGTGGTGGTTTCACGAGTGGTGATGCTGCTGCTGTTGGTGGTGGTGGTGGTGGTGGTCAATGCATCGATCGAAAACGGGTAAAAACCCGTGGGAGAGGCGTGAAACGAATAAAAAAAGAAGGAAAGAAAAAAAGAAAGAAAGGAAAAAAAGTAAACAGTTGGTCCAGCAGCGTGTACAAAAATCCTACGTTTCTCAACGTTTGAAGTTAACGAGATTCCTCTCGTGTTCTCTTTTTCATCGAGGAAACCCTTAACAAAGGTTTCTCTTCCTCCCTGAAGATAAACTGATTTTATCGTAATATTGAAAGAGGAGAGAAGAGATAGATAGATAGAGAAAGGATCTCATGGAGCTTTAGAAGAAACCCACTTTCATTCCAATTTTCTATTCGCGTGTTCCCCAAGGAATTCGTTAAAAGTAACGACGATACGCGAAAGCTCCCAGCGCCTTAGGCGTTTCAACAAATGCATTTTATTTTATTCTACTTTAAGCTACGAAATTAGCGGTGTACATATCTCTCTCATCGTCAGTTAAAAATATTTAATCAAATGTTTCTCAAATGTATTCGGTTATTATTTCCAAACTTAAAACTCGACCTTTTCTAATTCATTAAAATGTTCATGCAATTCGATTGATCTCTTCCTTCTTTTTTTTTATTTTTCGTTTCTTCTTACTTTACGAGACACATAACATCGATCTGTCTATTCTCTTTCTCTCTCTCGTTCTATCTCTTTTCCTCTGTCTTTCGTATTTGATTCCTTTCCTTAGATCTCCCTCGATCTTGCGAGCACAAGATTCGAAGTCCTTTATTGCAGAGTAATAACGTTTAATCCGACATACTTCGAGAGGAGAAAGATTATATGGATAAGAAACGACCAGGAAGCTTTGACTTCCTTCTTCCGACAAAGGGACGCAATAACGTTGCTAAGAATTTTAATGAGAAACTTTCTAAAAGGTTTCTTTTTCTCGGGTAGTCGTTTTTAATGGGCGATCTCTCTTAGATGATCGATCAGAAGGATATCTGAAAGTAAAAGTGCTACAAATTTATCCCCTTTGTGCTTTAATTCATATAAAAAGTGCTGCTGTACAGTAATATTACGGTGAACGTATTATTATATCGTACAAATATTAGAGAAATCCGTAAGATTGAAGGGTGCCGATGAGTGAAAGGGATGAAAGGGAGAGAAAGGGTGGTTTAAGGTTTATGGAAGAGGTGAGAATACCGAGAGTGGACATCTCGTACGAGAGTTACTTTTACTACACGTCGGATTTAATAACTGTGGACGAGGCGATGCACACCTTTGACTACTTGCTCAACCCATATTTCCGTGAACGTATATATATATATATATATATATATATATGTACGTACATTCGTATAAAGCAAACATGAAACGGGAAAACGAGGTAGGAAGGGAAAGTCCGTCTACAAAGTGGATTAAAATATCGTCTTTCCGACTACATTCTACCAGGATACCATATACTTGAAATTTCACATTTTCTTGTTGTTTTTTTTTTTTTATTATTGTTGTTGTTGTTGTTTCAAATGAGATTAACAAAAAGAATTGAAAATAATTGGATAAAGAGAGAGATGAAAAGAAAACACTGTTGGTATACCTTTGGGCCTTATGATCGACGGGAAGATTGTATTTCCAGTAGAATCGGTCGATAATTCGAGGGTACTATAATCTAAGATGTCTGAAACGAGAAAACAAAACAAAACAAAAAAAAAAGGGGGAAAAAAATCGAGTGAGAAATCAAAGAAAGCAACTTGTTTGTTTGTTTGTAGGAAGAAAGAAAGAAAGGAAGGAAGGGAGGAAGATAAAAGGGAGAGAAAGAGAAAGAAAAATAAAAAAGAGGGGGGAGGTTGAAGGGTGGTGGTGGTTGTAAGGGTGTCGTAGGTGAACCGGAAGAGAGATTCAAGCGTACGAACATGATCCCCCAGGAGTATCATTAATCTCCTCTAATCCAGTTTCTCGAGGAAGACTAACAAGCAAAGCTGATGATGCGTGAGCGTGCATGGTAGCCAGTAAGGGTGAGTGGGTTGCTAGATGAAGAGAAAAGAAGAATGGAGAAGGAGAAAGGACAGAAATCTGTAGGTGCTCGAAGCATCGTATGTACAAATGAAAGGCAATGAACCGTTGGATTTGAGGAAAGGAAATAAAAGCGGAAGCAGAACGAACGGCTCGATGGGTTTTCCGATACGATAAGTCGCGACGGAAGCCTCCGGTTCCCTTCTTTTCTCTACTTTTATCTTTTCTACTCTTACGTCTGTCTCTTTTTCCCTCCTCTAACCCCTTTTTCCTGTCTTTTTTTTCTTTCTTTTTGTTTCTCTCTCTTTTTCCGGACTTTCCTTTCTCTCTCGCCAGTGGTGGGTCCTCGTTTATATGACCGAGAGGTATATCTTCCATATAACTTTTCAACTCTACTTGTCTGACGATATTCACAACCAAGAGAATCATACAAATCGTATGCAAAAAGGGTTTGCTGCTACGTTATTTTTCTTTCCTTTCGTGGACCGTTTCTTTTTTTGTTTTTTGTTTTTCATGTGTGCATTCGCGTAAATGATTTTGCTTGGTACTTTAGTGTTTACGAATGTAGAGAATAATATTTAAAATGTTTTTTCCTAAAGAGACCATTTGAATTAACGCGCGATTTTAAAAGGGATAGATTTTCATTGAAAATCTTACCGCTTTGGTCCGTCGCAGCAGCCTGACCAGCACTTGATGATGGTGTCAGTGCCACATCTTTAGAAATCAGCAGCGATAAGAATTAGAATAAAGAAGAGTTTATACGAATAGCAAATGAGAAAGTTATCAAGCATTAGAGATCAATGTTAGTAAATGCTGCTTTAGTTATTGTTTAGATTAATTCTACCCCGTATGCGAATGCAATATATTTTGTAATTTGAGAGAATATTTCATAATAATTTATATCTTTTAGAAATTCGAATCCTTTTAATTACCGAGAGTTCTGATGGTGATGACTTTGCTCATTGTTCCGTCGCCCAAAGCGTTTTTCCCGATAACCTGAAACTCATAAACCGTAGCCGGTGTCAGTCTGTTGATCGTGACCATTGTACTGCCCGATGGTGTAACTGGTATCGTATCCCATTCCGATGTACCAGCTTCTCTATACCTGATAAATAAATTAGACGATGATGTTAATATGTAACATCAATGTAACAATAAATTATATAAGAGAGAAGGAATGAATGAATTAAATATAAAGTTACTTGCCAGATCGTATAATCTTGTTTATAATCAGGTCCACCAGAATAACCAGGTAACCAATTTAATGTAACTGAAAATTCGGTAGCATTGCCGGTAACGTTGTAAGGCGCATGAGGTTGAGTACCCTCGACGATTAGTTGAGTCGAAGTGGAAATGGTAGCAACTTCGTTCGATGCAACGCAATGATAAAATCCAAAATCGGTACGTCGTAGACTTTCGATCGTGAGATTACCGCCGTTGATTTTAGCCCGGTTGCGTTGAATCGGTGAACCGTCCTTCTGCGCAGAATAACAAAGATAGAACAAAACATCATCGGCGACGTATAATCGATCATTGTTCTATATTATTAAAAAAAAACAAAAAGATACAAATGATTTCTAATTGTCATACCCTAAGCCATTGTATTGTAGGTTTCTGGGTGCCTTCTGCTTCTTGAGCGTTGCAATGCATTTCAACGCTCTCGCCATATTTTTTCTGATAAACCGTTTCTGGCTCGAGAGTGAATACCGGTGGTTTTCTAACGAGCACTTCCATAGGCGCGGAACTACCCTGGGTGCCATGAGCGTTGTAAGGAGTACAGGTATACCTTCCTTGATGGTTCTCATTGACTCGCGTGAACAGCAGGGAGCCGTTGTTCATTATCACGATTTCCTTTGCCTGATAAGGCTCTAGTAATCGCTTGTCCTTCGTCCATGTTACGTATTGAAATTGCGGATTAGCCTTGATATGACACTGCACTACACCAGCCAACCGGAAGGGCAGATATTGAACCGTCGGCGTGAATGCGACCTTCGCTGGATCTGCATAGGAAAATGGAACGTGATATTATCGCGATGCTTTATTTTAGTTTAAATACAGGTGAGTTATATTTAACTTACACTCAACGTTGAGATAGGCACTGGCACTTTGGGGCTCGCCAATACCGTTGGTAACCTCGCAAAGATATTGACCGGAATCGTCGGCGCTGACAGGACTAATGACAAGGCTCCCGTTCATCCTGATTGAAGCTCTCGTGTCCAATGACGATACTTCCGTAACCGGTGCACCTTCTCGAAACCAACGTACCGTCACGTTTCCCGGTAGGGCCTTTGCCTCGCAAGAAAACTGAACCTTTTCTCCTTCGAGTTTAGACTGATTCGATGGGGGTACCATAATGACAGCTCCTCCTGTCGAAACGGAAATTAAACGCACCGTGAAAAGACTCCGCCTGTCCTTATCTCGCGTTTCTCACTTTTCTCCTCTTTTCTTTGCTCGACACCCTTTCCTTTTTTTTCTTTCTCTCTCTTTTCCTCCTCCCCTTCTTACTCCTCTCTCTCTCTCTCTCTCTCTCTCTCACCCGTTTTCTTTTTGTATTTTTTATCTTTTTTTCTTCTACAACAAAATGGCGTGTATAGCTTAATATCGTGCCAGTGTGGGAGCGTCTTCGAAAGCTTTGCAGATTCGCTTTTACATTCGGGAAAGTGGGGGGGGGAAAAAAAAAAATACGATTCGAGTAGGTCTTTAGATGATCGTTTTAAAGGAAAAGATACTAGGAGCAAAAGCGTAGCATTTTCCACGCTCGTATGAACAACGTGACACGAACGAATGTACTAGACGATCAAGAATAATGATATCGGATATATTCTCGAATAAAATTCAATTAAAATGCAAATGCGTTCTCTCTCTCTCTCCTCTTTTTGCCGCGTGACATTTGCGAAGAAAAAGAACTTAGAAAAAAGTAAGAGAAAGAACAAATTTTCAAGGGAAAAAAAGAAAACGAATAGAGGAAATTCACGATGCGTTAGGTTCTTTTTCATAATCGAGAAGGTGTCGTCCTTATATTATATTTGATTCTCATATCATCGCGTAAGTTCGAGCAACGATTAATAGCGAAATAAAAATGTAAATGAGATATACGTTGAATGGAAATAAATCATCGTGAGTGTGTCTGTGGTAGTTACGAAACTTCGTCCTTACTAACGTAAAATAGGTAGAAAAGAAAAAGGGTGGGGGAGGGGCGGGGGAGGGAAAAAAAACGCGCTCGGTTTTACATTTCAAATGGATCGTCGTATTCGTTTGTATTCGATTAAAATGTTTAAATCAAATAGAGGCGAGCGCACCTTCGACATTGTTTCCTTTTACGATTGGTTTGATTTCCATCTTAGCGTATAAATCTTTTCGATTTTTACGTATACAGTAAACGATATCTTCTAATAACAAAATACTGATATGCTATTTCACGATATTGCGATATTTTCAATTAAAATCAAAATACTGTATTACGCGCGCGATTTCATTTTTTGTATTTTATTTTATTTTTTATTTAATGTAAACATATAGATCGTGAATGTGTGCGTTGCAAAAAGAACAAATCGTTTGGTTTTCCGCGAACGCGAACGGAAATACGACTAGGGTTTGGACAATATCCTGGACGAAAGTATGAAACGAACGATCGCGCTTTTAATGTTACTTCATGCAGAAATAAAACGCGAAACGAAATCCAAGGGACGGTATCGAGTCGGAGGCTATTCTCGTAAATAGGAATTCTCATAAATATATATATATATACGCATGGAAAACTAGAGACTCAACGTGATATGGACCAAAGATCGAAGAAAAAGCACGTTGTTACGTTATACCTGTGTACCACGTTCCGATACTTCGTAGTTTCGTAGATAAAACATATTTATTTCTACTCCTAACATTTGATTTATTATACTTATTTCATTCTCTGATATTATATTTTCTCGTATGTTTGTTTCGTACTTATTTGCGCATATATGTGTGTGTACGTATGTGTGTGTGTGTATGAATGATAATTATTATATTCAAGAAAAGAGATAATAGTCCCTTGCAATCATACTTTCAAGCACTTATTCATGTGAATATCTCAACAAATACTTTTTTTTTTTTTCAGGATGCACATTATATCGTTGCCGATAACCGATGGAATTTTTACTTTAATACCCACAAGAATCTGAAAACTCGGATCTTTGAGCAACGAACTCGACGTTCCAGAAGGGAATATCATTGTAGCTAGTATATAATGGAAAAATAGAGGGGGGGGGGTGGTCGGCGGGAGATGGATGTATGAAAAGGGTAAGAGAGTAAAAGAGAGAGATAGAGATAGATAGATAGATAGAGAGAGAGAGAGAGAGAGAGAGAAAGAGTACGAAAGAGTGGATAAAGGATGAGAGGGTGGGGATCGATCTCAGCCAACAAAAGGCTGAACTCTTTCTCCGATTCAGCAATATTTTCCACAATCCGATCTGTCGTCACTTGCAGGGATTAAGGTAGGTTTTATGTATCCGCGCGATGCGCGAGAGAGAGGCCGCACTGCTGGATTTCAACTTCTATGTAAGAAATATTCGAAGAATCGTAGATCTTCCGGATTAAGGAGGAGCCCCATTCTTACCTACGAAGAGAATTTCTACGCGAAAGTTCGAGGTTTTAAACTTCTTTTGTAGAAGTAAAAGATGCTGACATAACACGTATAGCTTATATTTTTTTCCTCAAATAGATAACGATATATATATATATATATGTTACCGTCAAAGCCGGAAATCAGTCATTGCTAGTAATTCCTCGGCATTACTATGAATGCAAAGAGCCTACAGACTCTTTTATTAATTAAAAAGAAAAAAAAAAGAAAGAATATAAATGTTTCTTCTTGTAATATCGGCACGATTGAATTTTCTAATGCGTTACTTTCGACAAATCGAAAACATTTTTCCTAACGTAAGCTTGCTTTTCATGTAATAAATGATTATCATCAGTTTCTTTTTGGTATACCTATTTTCCTACCTACCTACTTACCAACCTATCTACATACATACACACACTTCTTTGAAAGATGAATAAAAGAATGTCTGTCTCTGTGAATCGTCTCTTGAAAAATATGCATCAACGTAGGTATCGCGTCATGTGTTGGTATATTCTGCGCTTTCGCTTTACGTCGAGGGGGTGATTCAAAGGACTCGTATTCATTTATTCATCGTCCGCAGAGAAGTGCATTGAAGTTTAATGGTGACTATTTCAAAGATATCTACTCTACCGACAGTTTTTCGTAAGACGTACGATTCTTATCAAAGCTTGGCAAACTTGTTCTAGTGCTTTTGCTGCAACTAACGAAAACGAACAGAAAAAAGAAAAAGAAAGAAAGAAAGAAAGAAAAAGAAAGAATAAAATAGAAAATATAGAAAAAGACAAAAATGGATATCAACGTACGTACGTACGTACGCGCAACTATTAAACTTGCATTACACGTTTCAATTTACTCACCAAGCCAACTATATTTCTCTACAAATGATCTCTTTTGTTCTTTCATGAAAAATATCATAGAGGAACGTTTTCTACCGTATCTTTTTTTTAAAGTATTTCACTTATTAATTACGAAGGATAAAGGTAGTTTATTATAATTAATTGCGTTTCTTCATTTTGCTTTCTTTTTCGCTCTGTTCGTTTACGTAGATGACAACAGAAACTACATCCGTAGTTAACGTAACTCAATTTAGCAGACTCTTTTACATATAGTCACTTACATATATATATATATATATATATACATATTTTCTCGACTCGAAGGTATATTAGAAAAGAGGTCAATGTTTAACGATGACGAACATTTTAATTAATTCATTATGAATTAACGCTAACATTGAATAAAAAACATGCTATAACGCGTATATAAAAGAAATATTTAAACTTTGCCACGGTTCAAGTATCCAAAAGTAAAGAAAATGGATTCAGGAGATTCGCTAAATATTTAAAGCAAGATTTGAAAGTTTCTCACCGATGATAGTACTAAGAAAGATATATATATGTATATATCTATATATATAGATATGTGTATAGAGTTAGACAAAAGTTTAACTTCTTTCTCGTCGTTTGAAATACTTGGCATTAATGCCGCCTGACTGTCAGTGCTATTTCCTACGAGATAGAAAAAGAAACTGAAAGATAAAAGAAATAAAAATATACGTCTATCTCTCTCTCTCTCTCTCTCTCTCTCCCTCTCTCTCTTTCTCTCTTTCACTCTCAGTTTGACAATGTCACATTATACCTTCTACTAAAATTTATATATATATATAAAAGAATATTAAAAAGAAATTTATATTAGTTTAAAACTTTTTCAATCGTATTAATCTCAATGGTATAAGAGGAGAGGAAAAAAAGCAAAAAAAAAAAAAATAATTAATAGACGTTAAACGTTTCTACCAAAAAATTTAGATTTTTAAAAATAATTCGTTCTCGTATTTCGATATTCTAAGGGATCAAAATTAGATGATAAGTTTCTACCAAACTGTTAGGGAAAGAAAGAAAGAAAGAAAGAAAGAAGAAAATAAATAAGGAAAGAAATAAAAGGGAGGTACGGGGGGAAAAAAAGATAGATGCAAGAAAAAGTGAACGAGATCGTTGGGTCAGAAAGAAACATTAGCCGAGGGGGTGGGCGGGCGACAGGTGGAGGGGGTGGCGCAGGGAAAGGGGAGACAAATCGTCTTTTAACGCGAGCTTCGCGGTGCGCGAGAAGCACCCTTAATTGGCCAGAAAGAGCCGCTTGGAAAAGTAGGTAACCAGGAAAATGGTGATGGTGGTAGTGTGCTGGTTTATGGTTGTGGTGGTGGTGGTAGTGGTAGTGGTGGTAGTAGTGGTGGTGGTGGTAGTGATTGTGGTAGTGGACTGTAACCACTTTACCTAACGCGAATTTTATCGCTTCGTGGAAAACGACACGCACACATAACGATACGTATCGAATTTTTAAATTTACGATTTATATATTATCAACAACAGGATACCCTGTACTCGAAAACCCCCATCCTACTTGAATTTTAATATATATATATATATATATATTCCTTAGATCGAAGATATGTTCCGTTAATATCGAAACCAATAATCGGTGGAATAAATAAAAAAAACTAAATGGAAGGAAAAGATAGAAAAAGAAAAGGTAGAGAAACATCGAAGAAAGATATTCGAGTATTGGGTATCGTGATTGTTATCGCTCTCATAGCTTTTCGATGATATAAATATATATATATTATTATAACATATGCATATTATAATCATAATGATAACGCAAAAAGCTGAGAAATAAAAATGTAAGTCAACGGAAATATGTTTAAAACTCATAGAAAACAATTTTATTTTTTTCCAGGCTCGTGGGTGGGCGATCGTTCGGGGAGGGGGGTAAGGGCGGGATTTATGTCTGTCCGTCCATCGGTGTTTTTTTTTTCTTTTTTTTTTTGTTTGTTTGTTTGTTTTATTCTCCTGCTCCTGTCCATTATGGGTAGAAGAATAGTAGAATCGATTTCACATGGAAATACGTTGTTCGATCACGTTCGCTATCTGTTATAGTCGATCGTTCGTCGTTGGCACGAATGAGATAAAAGAAACCATCGATAATGTTGTAAGCGGATGCTAGAAACACTTAAAGCTTTGTCCAGTCGTTTTTTTTTTCCGTGAGCATTATTAAAATACTAAAATGATCGCATGTGTATGTCCTTTGTGTTTTTGTATATGTATGTATGTATGTATGTATGTATGTATGTATGTTTATGTGTGTGTGTGTGAGAGCATATAATCGTGTAAATATGTAACGTGTGATTCGATGAACAGCATTAGCGATGAAACGATTCCAGCGTGTGAGAGAACAACAAAACCTCTGTGAAAGATCATTAGAAAAATGAATGCCGATGATTGGCTGAAACACTTTCGATAATTCCGCGAGCTCTCATTCTCTGCTTTTAATCGCGAAATATATTAATTATATATATTTTTTTTGTCAATTAAATTTATAATATATTAGATGTATGTACAATATGTTATTATATCGATCATTAGTTAACGTTCCCATATCTCCCCATTTTCTGTTCGTATCCATTCTTTTTCTTTTTACTCTTTCTCATTCTCTTGTTTTTTTTTTTTTTCTTATTATCTTTTATCATTTTTTAGTTTATTTTTATTTTTTTTTTTTTTTCGATTCTTTTCTTTTATTTTATTATCTATTATTTTCTTTTCTTTGCATTTCTTTTCTTTTCTTTCTCGAGCTTGATACGCGCTTGATTCGAACTACTTTGAGAGCCACAGTGATATAAGTCAATTACTTCTCTTCGCGAGATAAACACGAAAAAAGTATGCTAAAAACTTGATGGTAAAAAATGTAGGCAAACTCCAAGGTGATAAATATGGACATGCAATTCGGCTCAAAAATAAACTATTATCTTTACTAGCGTGATCGAGTTACAAAGCAAATTGGTACTAAAAATTATATATATAATATATATATATACGAAGAATGTCATGAATGGAAATTGAAAAATTACTGAATTATACCACTTTGACTTACTTTGATTATTTGATCGTATCGAGCGTCTATGCCGATATAACAACAGCGTCAAATTACTGGTTCGCTTTGAGGTATTCTCTGATACTGTGGTTACCGGAATTTCCATATCGGTATTCGCTCGATCTGTAATTATCGAAAATATTTGTGTCTAATAACGCTGTGTTCGTCAATAGCCGTTGCAATTCAGTTTTTATTGATTATCTGATATAAACGTCGTACTTTATGCGTAAGGATACTCTATTCGCGATCATTTCCAACCCGTAAAGTAAGTATGAGATGTTATGACGTATCTAAGCATTTATATATATATATTTATATATACATGTATATAAATATAAATATACGTAAATATATGCAACACTAACAAAGAAATTACCGCGAGCTTCGTAAATTTTTTACTTTATATATACGAAAAATCATAACTGCGCGACGTTTAAGTGTTTTTTTTTGTCTCTCCTTCCCGACGAAACGCTGATAAGAAAAATCCTGATTACATAGATATAACACCACTGTCCTTGGTCGTACCAGAATAACAAATTAAAATATTCTCGTCGTCTAGTGTAGCGTCGTTTCAAAAGAAAATACAATATTTTTGCCAGTCCGTGTCGTCGAGGAAAGTATACATTTAAATATATATATATATAAAAAAAAAACCCATAAAAAAAGGATTGCTCGTCTTACTTATTGTCTTCGCGAGATACCTGCAATATTTTTCTCTCTCTCTCTCTATCTCTTTCTTTCTTTCTTTATTTCTTTCTTTCCTTCTTTCTCTCACTATCTTTCTCTCTCTCCGCGTTTTTTGTTCTTATTTTATTTTTCCTTCTGTGCATGGTAAACATTTTTTTTTTCCATTCTTTTTCTTTTTTTTTTTTTTTTTCATTATTTTTTCGTTTTATCACACCCTGATACAAGAAGGGGGATGGAGCAGGATCGTTTTCTACGATGTTAGGCGCCTTTCTTTCGTCGTTGTCTCGCAACCGCGAACCAAGTGGATTAAAGGCCGCATCATGGTTCTACAAGAAGGGCTAATGCGTTTCTGTCAGAAGTTAATGCTTAAAATAGCACCCTCTAATGTTACCCCGCGTGATATTTGTAAGGTCGGATGGAAAATATGAATTATAATATTATATTATATCACGCGTTTGTTCGACGCGATTGTAAGCGACGTTGATTCGAAAGGATACCACAATTACACGTATTCGTTTGTTATGTGTTATTTATTCTGAAAAATATTATCTTCAACTAGAGATTATAATAGAGAACGCGTATTTTCGAATGAAAAATAATAACTACGACGTATATAAGATTAAAGAAGAAACGTGTTATTATTCTTATTTTCATATAAAATATTTCCAGAGAACACAGTGATCGCAAATTATTGTTACCTCAGGTTATTTTTTTTTTTTTGGTTTCCATCCTCTAAGGAAATCTTTTTTCTTTTTTTCTATATGCAATATGTACAAGAAGAAGAAAAAAAAAAAATATATATATATATATATATGTATATGTATATACAAAGTAATAACTAAAAAGAGTTAATATAATAAAATGGGAATAAAAGGACTTACGTGATCGACGGTAAAAATCTAAATAGAAAATAATAACGGATCGTTGTTTTCGACGATCTTACCGCTACGCGTTCACAGTAGAAACTGAAGACAAAATTGAACGATAATGATACCATACAAAACAAACATGACTTTGGGTGTTTATTATTTTCAAAATAGACGTGTGACAATAAATAGATATTCTTGAATACAAGCTAACGTATCGTGTGAATGAGAAATAATCGATTAAATTTGAGGATTTAATTACTACGATTGAGTACCATTGGAAAAATTGACTTTTCCATTTTCGTTGAAGTTCTTTTTTCTTTTTTCAAATATTATATTAATAAAAAAAGGATAAGAGAAATAAATCTATTGCTAATTAAATGAAACAATGATTATTATCATCTCACCTGCGATGATGACTCTTGCGGTGTGACTGATTTGTCCCTCTCCATTTCTCGCGATGCAAGTGTAATCACCGATATCCTCGTGTTTGATGGTTGCAATTCTCAATTCAGTACCGTCGTTGAAGATCCCAATCGTTTGCGACGGTTCGACAGGATTTGCATCCTTGTACCAGAGAATTTCAGGCGTCGGGGTACCTTCGGCTTGGCAGTTCAATATTATCGCATCGCCCAGATTCACGTAAATCATCTCCTCGGGCGTTATACTAAATCTGGGTGGTGCTGCAAGAATATGAAATATTATACAATTACAACCACATTCGCGAGCCTTGCATTAATCATTCTCTCTTCTCAAAATGAAAACTAAAATAATTTATTAATTTAGTAACACAACGAGAGAGAAAACGATCCCCTTACGAATTATACTTTTAATAACTGACTTTATCGACAATATATATATATATATATATATACAATTTATTATCAAATTATAAAATAAATAGATAAAGAAAATAAAATTAATTATTTTTAGAAAGATACTTCTCTAATATTATATTATTTTCTCTAAAAGTAATCAATGATTTTTTGAGTTAGATGATATGGGTAAATTAATTTTAAAGTTATTTCCTTTTCAAAGAAAAAGTATTATATACAATAAAGGAATAATGTTAAAAAAACAAAATCGATGGATTTTCGTATGTCTTGAGGGAAAGGAGTAATGTATAAGGCGAAAATATCACAGAAGTTTGGAATAAATTGTTAGAGAAGGAGATCGAGCGAGTTCTTTCGTTTTCGTTTGTCGTATAAAGCAAGTATATTCCAGGACGGAACCAATCCAACATCCAATTCGAGAGTGTTTACATGTCAGCGACTTTATATCGTGCCGAGCGCTACAAATTGGACGAACGCCAAACTCTACGCTTTAGATGTCCACCGCAGATGTTAGGGGAAGGGGGAAAAAAGGATCTCGACTAGGGATGATAATTTCAATCCGTCGAAATCTCTTCGAATTTCTTTCTTCGTATTCTCATTAGAATGACAATCGAAATATATCGGTAATGCTTTTGTTATCAACGACGACAACGCGACGACGACGACAGAAAACTACCGAATTTACATTTACAACGAACGTTAAGAAGACGTATGTTTATATCCTTGGATAAATTTTACAACAAAATTCATGATTATATTATTTATCCGTAATTTTATCTTTAATGCAAACAAATGAAAATATTCTTCAGTATTGTGTATATACTTTAATGTAAAAAACATATATTAAATATAATACATTAGTGACTGACGTTATATTCGTACGAGACATTTCACTGCATAACACATACAATTAAATTGTAATCTACAATGTATTATTATAAAATATTAAAAAAATAATATTAAAATTAAAGAAATTTATCAAAATAAATATATCTCCAACAATCGAATGAAATAGAACATCCGAATAAAGACACACATACGATTTATTTAATAATTCATTTAGAAAAAGATTTATATAGGAATGAAGTCTCATCGGTATTAAATTAAATAATATTAAATAACATAAGAACAACGTTATCAGTTTTGAATGTGTTAATTAACCAATAAGATAATAGGAAAGAAGAATGGGGGAGGGTGTATAGGTACCGAAACAAATAACTGTAAGTAGGCCATATTTCCACTTGTCTTTTCTTTTAGTGGATTCGTAATTACGATTCGGAATATAAATTACATACGAAGGTGAACGTCGTCGTCCTGAGGATGTCGAGAAAAAACGGACAGCACTCTATCATTGTAATGCGAACTCGAGGGCCGAACGGAGGCACTTCGGTGAGAAGGACAAAGGAGCCTTAAACGCTTTTCCGGTGCCCCGAGTATTTTTCTCTTTGATGCCGAGTCTATCCTCGTCGTTGTCGTCATCGTTGTCGTTGTCGTAGTGGTAGTGGTAGTGGTAGTAGTGGTGGTGGTGGTAGTCGAGTGTAAGCCCGAAGGCTCCAGGCTTGCTTTCGAAGCAAATGACGAGGGGTGGAAAACACGAAGAGAGAGAGAGAGAGAGAGAGGGAGAGAAAAATAGAAAAAGGAGTCACCACCTTCTTCCTTCCTTCCTTCTTTCTCTATTTTTCTCTCTTTCACTCTCTTTTGTTCGTAATCTAAATGCTTTTTCATTTTCTCTCTGGCCTTTCCGCAACGTTTATGGCCAAACAAAACGCGGCAATAAGTTTTCCCCCCTCCTAACACGGTTTTTTTTTACCTTCCACCTCCTCCTCCTCCTCTTCTTCTTCTTCTTCTTCTTCGTGCTCTTCTTCTTTCTTTTGATTCTTTTGCTACTCTTTTTCCTTTTCTTTCTTTTTGTTTCTCTCACTCTTCCTCTTGTTGTCGCATTGACGTTGACGAATCGGGAAAAACGCTTGCGCGGTTCTTCACAACGCAAATATCTTTGTTCTATCTTTCTTTTTCTCAATTTTTCTTCTATTTTTCCTCCCACGTCTTTCGTTTTTTGCCAAGAGAGGGAAATGTTTAAAATCTGAGATAGAGGAAACAACGCTCCGGGCTCCGTTTAACGGAGCATGAAGAAGCGATACTACTACTCCCTTATTTTGCCGAATTTTTACTGGAAGATATGCAAACGAGCTTTCTACATCTCTTTATTTATCTTTCAATAAAGAATACTTTCGGTATTTGTTTTACTCCCATAAACATACTTATTTAAAATTATTTATTAGTATGCTGTCATATATTAGACAAGAGGATAAAAAAGGAAGAAAAGTAAATACAAAAAAGAAAAAGAAAATAAACTCAATGTAAAAAGAAAACCTTAAAGATGTTCAATTTCGTTTATATGTCTAACGTTTAGTTAATCGTAATTTTACCAATTCCCAAACTGCGCGAATAGAAAATTTCTATCGCAAGAAAAGAATAAAAGCGAAAAGAAAGAGAAAGAAAGAAAGAGAGAGAGAGAGAGAGAGAGAGATGTAAGCCTCGTCGTAAAGTTAATTCTTTTTTAAAATATGACAGAAATACGTTAGTTGTAGACGTATAATCTGCTTAAGCTCGAAGTAATATGACGAGGAATGGGGGAAAGAGGACTCAAGAATAAGGCGGGGTAAAAGGGAGGAGATGAGTTTGGGAGGGAGTACGATGTAACTTCTTACTCTCTGACGTAAGTCGGATAAAAGTTTCGAAAAAGTAACTACGGCAAGTAACTACTGTGGGCAGAAAACTTTTTACCACCCATCGGTAACCAGCCCTTTACGTCGATTCGGTATCCTTTTTTATTTTTACATAGGACGAATATGACGAAGGAAATAAAAGAATGAAGGGGAAAAGATGAAAAAGAAAAAGCTCGGACGAGAAAAAGAATAACCCCATCCATCAATTTTCCTTTTCGGAATCTTTCTACTTTCTTATAATTTTGTGATGTTTTTTCTTTGAAAAAAAACAAAAAAACAAAAGAAAACTCGATGACAAGTAATAGGTTAAAAAAAAATATTCTGCAATTAAAGACAATTATTATGATGAAAGTAGCATTAATATTAACAATAATAATAATAATATTAATAATAGTAAAAAAATTGGCACGAACCGTGGACGTCGAGATGGAACCAGGTACCATTCTTGTCACTGTTAGGCGACCTGTTGAGGAAGACGACCTTGCACTCGTACCAGCCTTGATCGCTCTCACGGATGTTTGTAAGGTTTAGGCTGGCCATTCCGTAATTTGAATTTGGGCTCACTCTCGAGACGCGACCTTCGTACCCTTCGCCACTGTGGGTTGGATACGTCTCGTACCATATGTATATCGGTATCTCCTGCCCCTTGCACCAACACCAACACGCAACATAAACGAGGGATCGCAATGAACGCGAGATTACCGATGCGAGTGTATTTATTCAAGAGATTTATATTTTCTTTTTTTTCTCTCTCGATTTCTTATCATTCGATTTTTAAAATGGATAATCCTCTTTATTATTTCAATTGGTTTGTTTTTTTTATTTATTTATTTATAATCGCTCGCATCGGTTGAATAAATTATGGAACGATGACGTATGAACGAAAAGAAGGTAATGCAGCGATAAAGACGAAGGTAAAGTTTGTTTCTTTTTTTTATTTTTTTTTTGTTTGCGAATTTCTCCTATTATCGGAGAAGATCGGGCACGATGGATGGCGTGAACTAAACGCAAAATTTCAATTCCATTCATCTCGTTTCGATCTAATTTTTAGTTGAATTTCTTTCCTATTGTGTTATTACATACGAACGTATTTTTGCATTTATTTTTTCTTTCATTCTTATTTTAATGAATATTTTCGAATCCATCGTGCCGGTGGTTGATTAATAATAAAATTCCCGTCATGCATTGCCCAAATTATGAATGAATAATATCGGGTGCGAGTTAATTTTTAATAAAAATGGAAAACAAACGAAAAATAGATATATGTATATAGAAAGGAAGAAAAATAGAATAAATGTAAAATAGACGATGAGAGAGAATAAAAGTATCGATGATATAGAGAACGACGTGGTTCGTTTACTTTGATCAACGATAAAAGATACATGCAACTATAGTTTCTATCGTGCTCGTGATGTTTATTTACTGAAAAACGTTTTTCGTAGGATCTTCCGTTAGAAAATTCAAGCGAAGTTTCGGATTACCAGGGGATTCTCCGATGTCGCTCGTTTTTGTCTCAAGGATAGTAACAGTGTTAGGAGATGGATATAGTAGTTGAATGAGAGAGAAAGAGAGAGAAAGAGAGAAATAGGAAGGGCGTACGAATTGCAATCGAATCCGATCGGATCGTAGTAGTATCCACTCCAATTTCCGAGCCCAATGATTCGGTCTATTGGAGCATCCGCATCGCATCAAATAGTTCGAAATCGAGTCATCTGCCTGATAACATTTAACTCTCAATCAAGATTCGTCCTGTCTCGGTGGTGTCAAAGAAGAACAATTTTCAGAACTGTCGTCCCATTATCATCATCATCTTACAAATATTATCTTTCGTTCATTCATATTCTACTATTTTCCAACGAAGCGTATCTTCTATGAACACTCAAAATTCACTACATACATTTTTATATTACTTTTTTGCTAAGATAATAACAAAAATTATTTTTCAAAATAACTCTCTTTTCAATTTATTACCCATAACTCTATAGAAATTATCAATAATAATAATAATAATAATGTATGTAAGCATTTTTTATAAAATACATACTTATTCTCCAAATCTGATTTTTTCAATGAAATATTCATTCGACGTGCATCAACACGGATTAACATAATTGTTAATCCAGCGACTATTGGCTGAACATAGACGATATTATACTAAATGTATATGTTTTGTTCATATATATAATATATAATATATATATATATTATCTTTTTATATATAAACAGAGAAACTTTTAGTATAGATTATCGTATATAATATGAAATAATAGAATTAACGGTAGGACAATACTATAACAGTTTCCTTGCTGGCAGCATAGAAAGGTACGTCGTTGGGCATTAGCTGCCCCAGTTGTGACGTATTCTATTTCAAGCTGGCCTAGTTGCATTGATAATAACGACGACCACGATGCTTACGATGACTACGATGCCGAAGAGGTTGGACTCGACTCGCGTGATTTCAATATCGTTTTCCCTTGAGCCACCATTGAGTTCGTTTCGGTATCGTCATTCGGTTGCAATGTATTATGCGACTAGCATGCCATGTAAAATATATATATATATATATATATATATAGATATACGTATGTATCGAGTCAGAGAATGCACTCGAGCGCAAAGTGCCAGAAAAAGGTCATCCTCGGTTCCGCTTTCCTTCGGGAATGCTACACACTTTCCTGCTCGTTTATTCAATCCCCTACCGCTCTGCTTTCCTTCCACCACCCCTTCACTCCATTCCCCCCCACCTCCACGTTCCCGTCCTCAGCCCCATTTTACCCACACCCATCCGTACTCACACCAATCCCTTTCCTCTTCTCGACTTTGCCTGCACGATTACCGTAAAGTATGTCCCTCGCAATGCTCGATTTTTCGAACGAAACGCGAAAACCATTTACCGCGCGGTTACCTTTTAAACTCACCCTTTTCCTTTTCCTTTTCTTTTCTTTTCTATTCTCTTTTTTTCCCCCTCCCTTTTACTTCAAAGTAGTAACATTTTTTGTTCCCTTTTTTCTTCTTCTCGATAAGGAAAAAAAAAAAAGAAAGAAAATCGTACTTTTTAATCCAAAGACGGCACCGTGAATCGAAAACAAAGCTTTCCTTGTTAATCTTAACGATTTTGTTTCTCAAATCTTTCGAGGGAGGATTAAAAAATTTGCTTGTTGATGAGAAACAATTGGAAATAATATTCATTGGTCATTTTTTACGAAAAGGTTAAGGAAAGTATGTCTTTAATGTTCAATAAAGAGATTCGAAGATAAAAGAAAAGAAAAATATAACTGTAAAATAGGTCGAAAATGTAAAAGAGAGAGAGAGAGAGAGAGAGAGAGAGAAGGGTAAGGATTAAGGCAGAAGCTTTGAACGTAATGAGAGAAGAAGAACGAAGAAGACTGGCGTGGAATAAATTATGAGAACGAATTGTAGTTTCCAAAGTGGTCTCTTCCTAAACTTTCGTTTAGTTTTCTTTTTATTTTTATTTTTCTTTTTCCCCCGAAAAGAAGCAGAGACAAAAAGGAAAATGGAGTGCGAAGGAGGATGAAAAAAAAAAAAGAAAAAAGCAGCTAAAATAAAAAGATATGACGTAGACGTTGAAAAACCCCTTGAAGAAGGCACGATATATGCAGGGAAGCATAAACGCGTCATAGCTATGAGTATCGTGACCCTGAGTGAATAAGCGAGAATAACTCGGCTCTCTTTCGTGCGAGCACCTACGAGAGAAAGAGAGAGAGAGAGAAAGAGAGAAAGAGAGAGAGAGAGAGAGTAGGCGTTTTACACTTACGCCTACGACAAGACTGTCGACGACATATAGGTCGCTTTACTTTTCTCTCTCTTTCTTTCTCTTTCTATTTCTCACTTTTTCCTTCTTTCTCTCCTTTTGTTTGCTCTCGGCCCTATTTTCTCAGCAACGCTCTCAGTCACGTTATTGTTCGAAAGGCATACGATCATCTTCTTCGCGAAGTCGCCTTTTCACAGGAAAGAGGAACGAACGAATGAATGAATGAACAAACGAACGAACGAACGAACGAACGATGAATTTGAGATTGGATCGCGTAGCTTTAATTATTCTCGATGAATTCGTTGTATAGTTCGACATTAAGATTTTAATTAAATTGACTTTTGAATTCGCAACGAAACTATTATATTATATAATACGAAAATCGTTTATTACAGGACAAAGCGATTAATTCTACTCGTAATAATTATATTTTCAAATGTTATTATTTAATCGTTATATCGATATGTGTTTGAATCTTTTTTAATTATATTTATTATAATAAATGTCGAACACAACATTTATGATTCGTTGAATAATAAATTATAAATTTTGTTTGTATCAATTGTCTCGAGATTATTTTATTTGAATTTAATCGATTTGATAAACTAATGGCGCACACACACACTTTATATCTAAATGTACTTTCAGATAAGCGAAAGTGTAAAAAGATAAAAAAGAAAAAAGAAATGTGGCGTTGAAAGAAAAGAAGAAGAAGAAGAAGAAGAAGAAGAAGGTCTGATTTTATGGATGCGTAAACTCGAGAAAAGAAAATCTTGATAATTTAGTCGTAGAAAAGTGTGGAGAAAGTGGAGATGGTAAAAAAGAGAGGGAATAAAAAGGAATAAAATGATAAGGAAAGAAATAAGGTATGGAAGGTTGGTTTGCACTGTTGAGAGAGAAAAAAGGGGTATGAAAAAGGAGAATAGAAAGAGGTCATTCTCATTCCCTATGCGCACCACGACGACCGTGCTACTTAGGTCACTCGAGAAAAGGGAGAGGAGCTTGCATGCGGTACGTGTTGCGGAAATTTTGATAATTCATCCAGTCTGCTACGTGATGAGGGGAAATGGACGTACCATACGTTTCGTGATGGCCAATGCGACGAGATCACTTAGAGGAAGGGAAGGAAAAAAAGAACATGAAGGAGAAGACTAAAATCGTGTGCTTTGATATTTAAGCCTAGCCACGTATTCTCAGGAGATATGACTTCAACTTGGAACGATCTTCTTCTTATTCTTATTCTTTTTCTTCGTGAATCGTTAATGAACACGGCACATTTAGAAACTCTGATCCAACGGCACGAACCAAATATTCCAACTCTATTTTTTTTCTTTTTTTTTCTTTTTTTTTTCCTCCCCCTTTAAAATCCTAACCAATTGACTTTACCGATTGAATACGTTCGAATTTTGCAATAGATACTCAAAATGATCCAATCAAATTTTCCACTATTATCGTTATTTTATATACTTATACGTGGTGTATATTGTTTCATTTATCTCATCACCCAACTTCGTTAAATTATCAATTTCGTTATAATTTTACGCATAACGAGAAACATAATTAATTACACCACCAAGTATGGCCTGGCATTGTGCCAAAGAAAATTTACAACCAGCAATATTTCATTAATAGGTATATACCATATATATAGTTCTCTCTCTCTCTCTCTCTTTTTCTCTCTCACACAGTATCCACCACTATTCGTAAAATTATACGCGGTTTCCAAATGATAATTAACCAGATTCTAAAGAGGATACGAGCATAGCCGTATAAATCCAAATGGTTTAATTTTCATCCTTCGATCGGCCATACGTAATTTGATTTTTATAAAGGTATGATTAATTACACGCCCTAGCAACTTTTACTCATCTTC